CTGAAGTCTAGAAAAAAGAAGTCTGATGAGGAGATGTGGTGATCTCCGAAATAGGGCTTTAACTTCTACAGCTTAGACTTTGTTGCTTTTTCAATTTTTCCTAATAAACAATCGTGGTACAAAGCTCAATAAAAATATTAAAAATATAAAGTATAACACCCAAATTCATAAAAAATAAAGAAGACTTTAACTGCTTTATAAATCGAAAATTTGTATGAAAATGTCACCTTATAGAGCTTTATAAATCTATTTTATTTTTTATGAATAAGGCCATAAAGCTTTTATGCCGAAGACATGTATTTCAATGAAGCTCTGTACATTACGATTCAAAATCTTGTTTTCGCCTAATCATAAAAGCTTCATGAATCGAAGCGCCCAACATTGCAAGGCGCTTGCAATTTTGAAGTCATCATTTGTTTACTTTTTGTGTTGGAAATAAAATTTACTTGTCAGTTCAATAGAAAATAATTGAAAATGAATGATTTCCTGCTAAAATTCGTGCAAATTGTATTAAACCACAAGCGTTTATGCAATATTTCGGAGCAAAAATATTTGCGGAAGTGCGTAGTTGCGATAGAACGGCCAGAAAATTTGTTATGTATAGAAAGTGTTTATTAGCTGGTGACTTATGCACGGCGTGCAAGTGTACAGAAGTCGAGTCGTCATGCATTCGTTTCGGCTTGTGCATTCGTTTCGGCTTGACGAAACGACTACTCTACTTTGATTAGGCGCGTAATGTGCCGAGTGCCTTATGGGTATCAAACGTGACATTTTCAAGGAATCTTTAGTTTGAACCTGGAAATCTTAAGACAGTTGCCACGTGTTTAAAAATTCAGATTCAATAATTTCATGAGTTATAGAGATTTAAAAATATATTAGTTTCAAAATACCTATAAAGAGGGTTGCCACCTGATTGAAAAGTCGAATTTATTTAAATTATAAACAAGTTATATGAAATATTAAAATGTGGTTTTCAAACGAAAGTGTGTTAAGAGATATTTAGTTTGAATATTTGGAATTTTTTTGAGGTTTTCGGTTTAAAAATTGAACTTATTAAAAATTTAATTTATTTAATAAGAGAAATTAATAATTAGAAGATGGGTGTTAATAGAACTGAATTTAAAATGGATTAGATTATGAATTGTATAAAGGAGAGTCGCAGTGGTGTACTGGCTAGCAGTGCTACCATTCCGCAGGGTCTGGGTTCAAGCCCGGTTCAACATAACATCAAAAATAAAAAATAAAACACAAAAAAGGTTTTTTCTAATAGCGGTCGCGACTTGGCAGGCAATGGCAAATCTCAGAGTGTATTTCTGCCATGAAAAACAGATTCTCATAAAAAATAGAATCGCCGTTTGGAGTCGACGTAAACTGTAGGTCCTTCCCCTTTGTGTGACAATAATAAGGCGCACGCCACAAATCGGAGAAGAGGAGAGGCCAAAAACTAACATATGTATGTGTGCCAATCTATTATTATAAAGGAGAGTTGGCACGTGTTTAAAAAATCAAATGCAATTTAATTCATAAGTTATTTGTAATATATATCACAATGTCAAACGAAAGAGATAAAAAAAAAATTAGTTTGAAATTACTTTTAAGGAGGGTTTCCACCTTTTTGAAAGTCGAATCTGTTTAACTTATACACAAGCTAAATGAAATATTTAAATATGAGTGTCCAGCCATCTTTAGTTAGAAAATGTTTTTGATTAGGATTGCCACTAATTCGTAGAGTATAGCTATGTACATACATAAGTATGTACATATATAAAGACATATGTATATAATATGAAAAGGAATTGTTTTAAGGTTATCTTATCTGCACCGTTATTTTGCATTTCGAAAATGGAATGTCAAATTAAAGAACTGGACCTGTGGATGTTTTATTTTTTAAAGTTAGAACTTCTTTTTGGCGGTAAGGATGATTAGAAATTTGGTGAAATGAAAAAGGGACACCGTGCGCGATACCTCTCGTCAGTTGGAAACGGCTAGATGGGATTGGATGAAACATTTGAAATATTTTGTTGGTTTTTTAATCATTTTATTATTAAAATATAAAAAGATGTATTAATAGATGGTAACCTTCGGTTAGGTATTTCTGTTTGAAAGCTATTTCAGTCCTTTTTCATTTGTTTATTATTACGAAGACTTTTATTTTGGCCTAACAAATGTTATTAAATTATAAGAAAAATATATAATTAGGTGGTAACCTTCGTTTGAAAGCTATTTCAGTCCTCTTTCATTTGATACCAAGTTGGTTTAATTTGGAAAAGCGGTTTGTTTTTTATTACGAAAGGACTTTTACTCCGGACTTAAAAAGTATTTGGCCAAGTTTAACCGTTATTACTGGACTAAAAAAATAAAAGCCCGGAGTTTTTAGTTACTATTGGAGAAACTCGGCCAAACACATATGTGTAAGCGCTAACCTATTATTATTATTATTATTATTATTATTATTGGACAAATTGCCAATAAGTTCGAAAAATATAAACAAGCCAGTAATCTTGTCGAGGAATCAAATGAACATCGATAACTTTATTCTACGACAATATTTTGCCCCGGAATTTTATAACATAAAAAAAATTACTTAATTTAGAACAAAATATATTATTTAATGTTAATGTTAACTATCTTTTTATTTTCAGACTGAAGAAGATCTTTTGGAAGTATCTCTTGATATTTCTTTAGAAAAAGATAAGGCTTCCCAGTATACTTCTAAGGCATATTTTAAACAAGACTATTCTAAGCTTCACAATTCTTTTGACATAAAGTTGGAAATAAGAAATAAAACTGATATTAGCCTGGTAATTTGTCAATTAATAAGTATATGTGTATATTGCAAAAGAAGTGTTTATAGATTTTGTACCCTTAGTTTCAAATGGAATATATTTATCACAACCATAGTGAAGAGATTATTTCTAACGGAAAAATGATAACCACAATGCTGTCCTTAAAACCTTTCGAATACTCTTTACTGCTGAATAAAGGAAAAAATCCTATTATTAATATAGACCTGAGGTTTACAGATCAAAGCGGAAAGCGAATGGATTACGGAATACGAGTATTAAAAAGAAACGAGGTTTTAAATACAGAAATATGGACACCAATTCTAAACTTCAGAAATATATCTGTTCATGGAACGCTGATGCCTTTACGTTCTGATCAATATAGATTTGATGGAGTATTGTATCGAGATATGATAACTTATAACCTAAATGGTGTGGTATATTTCGATGACATATATCTGAAAAAAGTGCGTCTACAAGCATACCCTTTGTCTGGTAAACCGAACGGTTTGATAGAATTTGATTTTATGAAAAATAATGATACAGAAAGTGACTTTGATTTCTATTTCAATGCAATGGAAAATGGAGAATACTGTAAACTTTCAGGTGGTTATTCTTATAATAACCTAACTGGTGTTGATTTATCAATACTTCTTCAGTCAACAGTATCAGCTATTGGGAGAATTCATGGTATTGGTAGCTATCATTTAACTAAAGATGATAGTATTATTGCAAAGTTGACTTTAGAAACACCTTGGCGCTATAAGACCATAAATATTTGGTCACAAATATATAGACGCCCGGACCAAGGCAAAATTCATGGAGGCTACAAATTTGATAGCCACACGGCTTATGGGAACTGTGAGTGGTCTTGGAAGCCAGAACAAAATATGCGCATTTTAATAGAAAGTAGCATCGATCGACCGGATGGAAATTCAAGCTTTGTATTTACTGAACTAAACTATGTTAACCCTAACATAACCTTTCAGGATTTACATATTGGCGGAAAGCTAAATATTAGCTCAGTATTCAATTTCGAAGTAAATGCTTCTTTAAACTATGAATCAATTGATAACGTTCAAGTTGGCATTATAACTTACTGGCCATTACGAAAACATGAAATACATGAAATAAAAGGTCGATACTGTGGAAATTTAATTAGCAAGCAAGATACAAATTTGGAAGTTTTTGTAGAAGGAAAATATTCCGAAAAATTGTCGAATCGATGGTGTTTAGCACGTTTTGTATACACAAATCTTACTAACATACGCAGTATGGGTCTTGTTGAGTGGCATTTGACCGATAAAACGAGCACATTCCAAGCGGATGTTGAAATGTCGATGGTAGCAAAAGCTCGACGGGAATTTCTTGCTAAATTTATCACGCCGAAATTTGGCAATCAAGCTACTTTACTTTTAACTGGCTCTTACGATCGTATAAATGGAAATCACAGACATTTTAAGTACGTGCATATAAATCTTAAAAACGGAAGCAAATAAACTGAATAATTTTACTCTTTCAAAACAGTTGGTCAATTCACTATCCATCCACTACACGCATTGCCGATATGGACCTATCAATTCAATCTTTTTCTAACCTGAACGCTGTGTTAAATTGCACCACGCCCTTTTTAGAATGGCCGTGGATTAAAGCGGATTTAAATTTCACCACACATGGGTAAGTAATTATGCAACATTTTTATATTTATGCTTTTCTTTCACACATGGTACAAATTTTGTATGAACTGATTAGTTCAATTAGTAATCTCCGGTTAACATCGTTATTGACGTTTTCGACTCCATGCATATAACAGGGTTTCGGTTACGTCGATAACGATGTTTAACCGGAGATTAGTGACAACCCAGCTCTGAGCAACCGGTCGTTAGTCCAGATTACACTCCATCTAATTATTATCTGCGTTCCCGTCGTCAGTGATCGGCAGTGGAAAAATTTCATACTAAGATCCAAAAAAAAACCCATGTGATCCTGAAAGAGATCCGGTTCAATTTGTGATCCGCCTTCTTGTTTTGTTTCAGCGTTGGCATTACATCCTCTTTTATTTGGCAACACTAGGGCGACCGCTGTAGCCGAGTGGTTAGAGGTGCGAACTTCCACTCGTTAGGACTAAGGTCCGATCCTTCGTTACAGCAACATCGAAAAAAATTGTTCTAGTAGCGCACTATGGTCTGGCTGCTACTATTTGCTGACCAAAAGTCAAAGTATCGATAAATCGATTTCTTTTTGTCCCTTCACAAATCAATTCTCTAAAGTAAAAAAGTGCATACTTAAAGAGCTTTTTCATTGAGCTGTTAAAGTTTACATTTCTACAAAAAGGAAACATTTTTTTGTTCAAATTGGAATCAGTTTTCGAGTGATAAAGATACTTCAAAAAAGAGTAAGGAAATGTATAATAGTAGGGGAGCCCACGATGCTAAATCGGGAGCGAGCGTCATTTTGACATATTGGATTTTGAAGATTATATGATGGGAAGAAAAAAAAGGTCATGTGAGGTTTTTCTTTCCAGCGGTGGGTGGAGGATCTACAGGCTTCCAAAAATTAAAAAAAAAAAACAGTTACGTGGCTTTACTCGAGCACGTCAGATATTGATAATGAATAAATCAAACGTGTTTCTCCCATTCAATAATCTGATAAAGATGCAAAAGAAATCGCCATTTGGATTTACTCGAATTTGACCCACAAAACGCACAAAAACCATTTCCACTCATCGTGAATCACAAAATTTATACCTTGTTTATACCGCATTAAGAAATAACCAATTTTACTTAACACATATTTCTTTCAAGCGTTTATACCTGTGTTTTTACAGCGCAATCTCTGAGACCGTATTCAAAAGTATACAAAATTTGTTGTTTTATTTCGATATTTGAAATAATAATTCAAATTTATTTTAATAATAATTCAAATTTAAAACGGGCTGTATAAAGAAAACCGGCATATTTTCACTTCGCGTCGAATGAGTGATGTGTTTATACCTGTTTTCTAACCGATTTGAGAAATAAAAGACCAATTTGAATTAAAATTCGAGTCAATACACATCCGCTTTGAATCACAGCGAACTAGGTCAAAGCGCTTCATGTGTTAGTATTAACAAGGTATTAGTTAGTAAAATTTCAAAGGTTATATTTCATGTAACACCACGAGGGCTTTGATCGCCCATGATTGCGTGATACTATACTAAGATACTATATAAAGAGTGAGTAAGAAGGGAGCGGAGTTTAAAATTTTTTCATGTATAAGTAAACTTAAGGTTGCCGTATTCAAAATTTTCTGAAAAATGCCTGTTTTCTTACACACAAATTCTTATGTCTAGTGATTTTAGCTAAGAAGTGTGTAAAATTTACATAGATAAGTTAAACAAGTAAGGAAGTCTAAGTTCGGGCGGAGCCGATCATTAAATACCCGGCGCAAGTATTAAAGATATGTTTTTCACCTTTCCGAAACCTACCGCTACATGGTTAGCTGGGGCGTAACAATTTTGAGTAAATTAGAGTCCTTAAATTTCGAAATTTTGAAGTTTCAAGCAGTTCTGAAATTTACCGTTATATGAAAAGCGGCCTCAATTTTAGTCCGATTTCAATAATTTNGGCATATTTTCACTTCGCGTCGAATGAGTGATGTGTTTATACCTGTTTTCTAACCGATTTGAGAAATAAAAGACCAATTTGAATTAAAATTCGAGTCAATACACATCCGCTTTGAATCACAGCGAACTAGGTCAAAGCGCTTCATGTGTTAGTATTAACAAGGTATTAGTTAGTAAAATTTCAAAGGTTATATTTCATGTAACACCACGAGGGCTTTGATCGCCCATGATTGCGTGATACTATACTAAGATACTATATAAAGAGTGAGTAAGAAGGGAGCGGAGTTTAAAATTTTTTCATGTATAAGTAAACTTAAGGTTGCCGTATTCAAAATTTTCTGAAAAATGCCTGTTTTCTTACACACAAATTCTTATGTCTAGTGATTTTAGCTAAGAAGTGTGTAAAATTTACATAGATAAGTTAAACAAGTAAGGAAGTCTAAGTTCGGGCGGAGCCGATCATTAAATACCCGGCGCAAGTATTAAAGATATGTTTTTCACCTTTCCGAAACCTACCGCTACATGGTTAGCTGGGGCGTAACAATTTTGAGTAAATTAGAGTCCTTAAATTTCGAAATTTTGAAGTTTCAAGCAGTTCTGAAATTTACCGTTATATGAAAAGCGGCCTCAATTTTAGTCCGATTTCAATAATTTTCAACGCTTTGCTTCTATGTTGCAAGCACAATAAACATACCGAGTTTGGTACAAATTGGTAGAACGGTTACCGAGATACATATATGTGATCATAAGTGGGCGGTGCCACGCCCATTTTCTAAAATTTTATCACAAACATATTTCTTGGTTAAGAATTGTTGTAAGCATCAATTTTGAATAAATTAGCTTTAATATTTACTCATTTATCGAAGATTTTGTATTTCTCTAAATTACCGTTATATGGGATGTGGGCGTGGTTATTGTCCGATTTTAAAAATTTTCGGCTATTTGGTATGATGTGTGAAGGCCAACAACTGTGCCAAGTTTGGAAGATATTGGTAAATCGGTTACCAAGATATACACATGTAACCATAAGTGGGCGTGGCTACGCCTATTTTCCAAAAATTTATAATATTCTTATTTTTCGTCCAAACTTATTTTAAATATCAATTTTGAGTGAATAATCTCCAGTAGTTACGAAAATATCGCAGGTTTCGTATTTCTGAAAATTACCATTATATGGGAAGTGGGCGTGGTTACAGTCCGATTTCGCCCATTTTCCTACATACCAAATTTCGTTGAAATATCTCAATTTGTGCCCGAGTTATCGTGTACACGGACGGACGGACAGACGGACAGACGGACGGACAGACAGACATGTCTTAATCGATTTCTCTTTTCATTCTGATCATTTATGTATACATTTGTCTATGTCTATCTCGATTCGTTTTGGCTGTTACAAACAACCGTTATGTGAACAAAATTAATATGCCCTTGTGCACAATTGCGCTCGGGTATAAAAAGTAATTTTTAACTGATATTTGTTGAGCTAAAAGTTACATCGTGTGCTACTAATTTTTGTTAATACAATTTTAATCTAATACTCCTTCGATTTAAGATTATTTCAATCCTAATTCAAACTATTTTGAAACTGGGATTAAATAATTCGTAGACGCACTTAATTACACAAGTAATTTCATCGCCCAGCTCAAATTTAGATAAAGGTTTTTGATTCGCAAATGCACATACTTATGTACATATACAGCGGAGCAACACACGAGCCTTTAGTGAGAGTTTGTTTGGGTTAATTCTCACATTTTACATTTGGTCCGCTGGGTATACTTACGAACGGAAAACAGCAAACAAATCAAAAAATAGCAAATTTCGTGGAAAAATCTGTAGCAGTTTTGAAAAACACGAAAATCTTTGTTAACGGTTTTCGTCACTCCGTCTTGTGGAAATCGTCAGATTATATACTTACCGTTATCCTTCAGCAGTATACTTCATAATAAAAAAAAAATTACCGCGCTCGCGAATGTCCAGGTAACGTTTTTTTTTGAAAGTTTGTGACCCTCCCAATCCTTTGCGTCACGCTCAAATCGTCAGATTATTAAAATGCATACTTTTCAGCATGTAATTAACCCATTATTTCTTAATCTGACGGTAATATGGTATGATGGTAATATTTATTCGATTAACAAAAAGAAAGCTAGAATATAGCTTGCTAAATAAAATAAAACTCATTTTCAAAATGTAATCTAAATTGGGTAATAATATTCCACTCTAAATAGAGCTATAAAAAATTAGTTTCATTTGGCGGTCTTCAAGCTTTGTGGGCAATGAAAATGTTTTATTTAGAGTATGTGGGCTGAGAATCATGTTGCAATTTCTTGCACTTTTTGAATAATAGGCTTTTTTCTTAGAAAACTTGTGCGCGCGTTTTTCCGTGATTTTCGATATTTGAAAAGAAGCAGTCAGCTGAGGTACCAATAAACCGGCGATTTAAAACTTTTGGTGCAAAATATTATTAAAGAAGTGCTCCCCGAAGAATATAACTGCTACTTGAACTTGTGCGTTACGTTATTTTTTTAACTCTATACCTAGCCTAATTATAAGTAGTATACTTTTTGTGCTAGTGTCTTTTCAAATAAATACTTAAGTACAAATTTGTTCAAATAAAATACAAATACAAACCCTCGTGTTACTTATTTTCAAAAGAAAGAGTTTTTATTTGAAGCACCAATGTTTAGGGAAAAATATGCAGCAAAAATGTGGTCTACTATTTTGAATTAAATTTTTTTGCTCCGAATCCACTAACCCTACATTGGACCCGCGTTTTAAAAACCCCTTATATAAAAGTTATTGGTGAAAACGGGAAAATTATAAAATTTGGTCGCCATATTGGATCGGCTATTTTGAATTTCAAAAATATCTCATCAGATTCGAAATCAGCGGCATCGAAAACCTCACACTTACATGGGCTTGTGGTGCAAAGGAGAAAATTATAAAATTTGGTCGCCATATTGGATCCGCCATTTTGAATTAAAAAAATCTGACATCAGATTCGAAATCAGCGACCACAATAACCCCAAACACCAAGTTTAAAATTGATTTGGTTACTTCTGGACTATGGCCAGCA